CAGCTGTGCTAGGCAGACTTCTGTTGATCGGGCTTCAGCGCGATCTTGGGTCGAGGCCCCCGGGGAGGAGGCTGTCTGCGGCGGCTGTCAGAGCGAGAGCGAGGGCGGCCGCCCTGTCTACGCTGGGGCTGCTGAGCTTGCTGAGGCGGGCGCTGATGTGGGGTTCTGGCAGGTGGCTCGTGAGAGCGGCCTGCCGAAGAGCTAGCGCGGCGGGGCAGGAACAAGTTCATGGCCAAAGTCGCTTTCTGTACCTCAGAGAAGCGGTCAACGATGCCCGTGACGGCAGATCCGAAGAGACCGGTCGGAGAGATAGGCGCGTTGAGGAACACGGCGCGTTCTGAATCTCCCATGTCGGTAAGCGTGAGCCATAAGTGTCTCTCAGCGACACAGAGGGCGGCCATGCATTTCCCCAGGGCTTGTGCGGCGGCTTTAGTGGCGCGAAGGGAAAGATCCGTAGCGCTTCTCAGATCCGAGAGGATGGGCGGGTTCCTACCGCTGTTCGCCATCTCGCACAAGATGTCGCTCTGGAGCACTTGGAGGACTGACATGGAATGCAGCGCTGAGGCGGCCTGACCGGCGGCAGCATAGGCGCGGGCATGAAAGTTAGAGGTCGCTCTGCACGCTTTTGAAGGAAGAACGCCATCTAGCAGAGGGCGGGCAAAGATGAGCGGCGACCAGGTCCTCGACGGGCGGCATGGCAGTATAACCCTTCTCGGCGGCTCCGTCCACTGAGCGCAGCGAAGCGGACACATCGGAGCGGTTACGAGCCGAAAGAGGGGCATTCCAGGATTCCGTGAGCTCGTTGTGAAGCTCAGGCAGGAATGGTGCAGCCCGGCTGCAGGCGGGGGCCGGGCGGCGGTGCAGGAACTTCCCATCCATGCGGTTCGGTGGTTGCTCGGGGGGAGGAGACCACTCGAGACCCAGGCGGTTGACGGTAGTGATGTGTCGTTCATGAACGATTCGTTCATTTTGAACGAATCTTTAATATGACTCGGGACTATCGAGTTGTCTCAGGGAGTGATTCGTTCATCTTGTGTTACCCGCGCATGCGCATTGCGCAACATATGGATTCTGAATCTGTACTGGAAACAGAAATGATTAGTTCATCTCTCGAGTCTCGAGTCCGAGTCTTTCGTTCTTCCTGTCAGTCCCATAGAGCCTATGCTGTCAGTACCGGAAAGAGAAATGATTAGTTCATCTCTCTAGTTCGGGTTCGGGGGGTCCGAGTCTTTCGTTCTTCCTGTCAGTCCCATTGAGCCTATGCTGTCAGACCACCGGAAAGAGGAATGATTAGTTCATTTGAGTCTTCGGGTTTGAGTCCTTCGTTCTTTAGTCACGTGAATTGTCACCGTATTGAATACCCAAATTCACAAACTTTTTACAAACTAATTCACAAACCTTTTACAAACAAGCACGTAGATGATGTATATAATAGTAGTTAATTAATGTACAATATATAATAAAACACACCACAGATGCATAATATAGAAAAGAGACGGACAGGGACAATAATAAGGAATAATGGACGTTTATAATGTTTATTGAACATTTGTATTTTAATGCCTATATAACACAATATTCAGACGCAGTCAATAATACGAATCTAATGTTGTATTTGATGCGAGACCCGTGGCCACGTGAGAAAAGAACGAAGGACTCAAACCCGAAGACTCAAATGAACTAATCATTCCCCTTTCCGGTACTGAAAGCATAGACTTAATGGGACTGACGGGAAGAACGAAAGACTCGGACCCGCCGAACCCGAACTCGAGAGATGAACTAATCATTTCTCTTTCCGGTGCTGACAGCATAGACTCTATGGGACTGACAGGAAGAACGAAAGACTCGGACCCGGCCGAACCCGAACTCGAGAGATGAACTAATCTTTAATCTTTCTGGTCCTGCTATATCGCATGGCACGGCCAGCAGACAGCACAGATCAGAGTCAGACACTGACGAGTCAACAGCTAACGTCTCGAGACATGAGAGGAGGAGAACAAACCTGATAAATATGAAGTTGCAAAGCAAAGAACGTCTCGGATCAGGAGGTGAGGTGAACTATAACAGGGTCAGACTGCATAGCCTGAACTTGAGACCCAGCAACTAATTAATAGCTAACGTTACAGTTATTTCAGTTGCTTTTGGCTTTGGCTGCATTACCCTATTATGTTATTTTTACAAATGTAATTAAGATTTTCGTAAGTACTAGATGTATGGGATATTTAACATGACATTTTAATTATATAATTATGAAATGACCGAAATGAACGAAATGACTCGATAAAAGATTCGTTCATTTTACTGAACGAGACTCAAAGATCCGAATCAGTAAAATGATCCGAACTTCCCATCACTAGTTGACGGCCTGCGAAAGGAGGCGCGTTAGTTCCTCCTCGATGCCGGCGCGGGTCCCCGCAGACTCTCTCGTCGATGAGCCGATCGACGACCAATCCTCGCTGTCAGAAGCGTGCAGCGAACAGGAGTCCTTCTCATCCGCGGTGTCGTCGGAGGCGACAGAGCGGCCACTCGGCGGCAACTGTATGTCCGGCTGGGGCGGAGAGGGAGAGCGGTCGGTGGGCGGCGGCCCGCATGGATCCGCAGGGGGCTCCGGCGGCCTCTGGGAGCGGCGTTTCTTCTTCCGCAGGGCGAAGTGAGAGGCGGCGCGGGAGCGGTTTGCCGCCTGCAGTCGAGCCCGCAGGGAGGACAGAGGCAGGTCCTCGCAGTGGTCGCATCCTCCGTTGGCGAGGGCGAGCTCTGCGTGATCCACTCCGAGACAGAGAACGCAGATAGGGTGGCGGTCTCCTTCCTCGAGTGAAGAGCGGCATGAGCCGCAGGAAATTCGAGGCATCTTGAAAAAGACGCTCGGCTCTTTTGTGAAAGGAATAAAGGAATAAAGGATAAGCGTCGGATGGCGCTAGCTTGCTGGGCGGCTGAAGGTGGCAGACGGCCGGCTTCCTCAGACTCCGGAGCTCGCTAGAAGGTGCCTTCTCGACGACGTCGGCTTCTTCCCAGGACAGCGGATGCGTGTAGCTCGCTGAATGATGAAGAATCGACGAACGAGCCTGGGAGAGCTACCTTTATACACTGTAGCCACGCCCCTTTTGGCGGGCTGTGACGCAGTGAGCGAGCGCCGTCCGCTCATTGGCCGCGGTCTCAGCGCCGCTCTCCCATAGGTTCGTGCATTCTCTCTGAGCGAACCAATGAGCCACTAGCTAGCCCGCTCATGGTCTGCCTCAGAAGAGACTGCGTTGACAATGATTACAAAATTATGGAATAATTTTTTGGCTTCAACTTCTCAGCAAAGATGAATCTTTCCCGTAGCGTAAGCTAGCTTACGCAATACGAGAGAACCTCTCGTAAGAGAACTTGTAATATGTTTTTTTCTCATCTTAATGTAGGTAATAAACTGGGAAAGTTTCATGGTGGTATCTGCTAGTTAAAAAAAATTACCCTATTCACCTGTAGTGTTTTGCCTTAAAATACAAATTATTTTATGTTTTGTTTGTTTGTAGCATATGACAGCATGCGACACAGAACTTAAGGATTCGCACATTGTCACATCACGCACCTGCAGTGCTTCTGTGAACGGAGAAAAACAGAATAAAATTAACTATATTCACAACACAAATGCTGGGTTATTTCAACCCAAATTTGGATCAAATATGGACAAACCCAAAGGTTGGGTTAAAAATGTAATTTAAAATTTTAACCCAACCTCAACTTTCACTTTCAACTGTATTCAATTCAATTTTTTAATTACTTTTTAACCCAACATTTGGGTTTGTCCATATTTGACCCAAATTTGGGTTAAAACAACCCAGCGTTGTTTAGAGTGTAAAAGAAAGAAAATAAATAGGCATGAAACTATATTTTACTTTAAGAATTTAAAGATTAACAAAAATAAAAAACTGTATGACAAGTATAAGCTACACTCATTTTGTGACACTCTAACTCACTGTATTTGTTTTCTATATATCTTTATTTTATTAAAGGAGGAGACGACTCAACGCATGCAATATGTTATGGCGCCGTTTTATGCATAAACAATATTTATATTTATTATTTATATATAAACAATATAAATGTAAGCCAGAGGAGAACTGGCCCCCGACTGAGCCTGGGTTCTCCCAAGGTTTTTTCTCCATCCAATCTGATGGAGTTTTGGTTCCTTGCCACTGTCGCCTTGCTTTTGGCTTGCTCAGTTGGGGTTATTTAGTGTTTAGCAGTATTATTGATCTGTGTTGTACTACTTTCATGTTATCACTGTGAAGCTGCTTTGATACAATCTGTATTGTGAAAAGCGCTATATAAATAAATGTGACTTGACTTGACTTGACTTAAATCTCGCAGGCTTCTCACGCGCACACACACTCAACAAATCAGATCTAGCATTGCTAACTTTACATTTCAGCCATTTTCCATTTTCAAAATCAGCATGCCCAGCACCCAACCTGTATAATACATTGGAGATAGATACATTTCTCTTTCATCACTGATCAAAGTATGGTCAATTGTATGCTGAGATTGGTGGCATATCAATATTTCATGAATCACACATGAATCCTGTCGAAAGATGTTTTCTGCCCTCAGATCTGAGTTTGTTTCTACTTTAGATTGATAAATATGGCCCATTATGTCCTGTTTAGAATAACTGTCCTGTTTTCTCTATCTGTCTTTACATACCTGTTCCTTGTTTCGTCAGTGATCATTCTCAGTGTATTTAAACCTCCTGATTTCTTAGTTCTGTATCCTGTGTTAATGTTTATGTTAATGTATAGTGTGCATTTTATTTCTCTGTTTCATTAAAGTCTTCTTAGATCTTGGTTATTCTGCATCACTCATCTCTTTTTAGATTCATAAACAGTGGTTACGTGACACTATTCTAAATAGTATGTCAGAGCAAAAACTAGCAACTAGCGATTCTGTTTTATTTTTTCTAGTTATAACAGTCATATACACATGCACACATAAAACATTGTGAGTAAAAAAAGAATACTCACCTGAAAAAAAAAGCAAATGAAACAGCTTGTCCATTTTTCATGGATTTACAGTCTGTATGGAGCCTGAAACTGTAGACACAACTAGAATAATGACAAA